TTATAAAATTACAAAATTATAAATGTATACATACCAGGTATATTCTTATAAACTATTATATGACTCAAGACCTTACTAACTCATCATAAAACATATAAAAATCAAGCAAATAGAACAATAAACCTATATATATATGTGGCTGAGGACCTACATTTTATGCACTTAAAAACCAATTGTTAAAAAAATGTTAAAGCTTTATAAAATTACAAAATTATAAATGTATACATACCAGGTATAGTCTTATAATCTATTATATGACTCAAGACCTTACTAACTCATCATAAAACATATAAAAATCAAGCAAATAGAACAATAACCCTATATATATGTGTGGCTGAGGACCTATATTTTATGCACTTAAAAACCAATTGTTAAAAAAAGTTAAAGCTTTATAAAATTACAAAATTATAAATGTATACACATCAAGTGTAATTTAAAAACCATTATGTGACTCAAGAACTTATTAACTCATCACAAAACATAAAAATCAATCAAGTAGGACAATGTGTGTGCGAGAGAGAGACCTATATTTTTTGTACTAAAAAAACAATTATTAAAAAATGTTAAAGCCTTATAAATGACCTCAGTAAGCGAAATAGTCAACACATACCAAAAACTTTATATTTCTCTGGTCTGTATCAGCTCCAAAGCTAATCAGGAATGTTGAAGTGAAGCAGGGAGGCATTTTATTTTCAGCTGAGTCAAAGTCAACATTTTAATTGGTGTCTTTTTACAGCAGGGGAAGAAAATCAATCTCTTCATTTAACCCTCAAGGTACTAGTGTGTTTAATCTTAAAATCCAATTGATCTCTTTTCTCAATAGAAACCTGTCTTGGTTAACAGTAACTCTTTCAATGGCCCAAAATGCAAGATTTTTTAATGTATGGTCTTTTTCTATAAAGTGACCAACAAGAGGGTTGCCTAATCGTTTGTTTTTTATATTGCTCAAATGTTCTCCTATTATTATTTTAAGTGGTCTTGTGATCTTCCCTATATAGAGTTTTTCACATGGACATCTTATGGCATAAATCACTCCTTTGGTG